ACATTGTTCCCCCCCCCCTTCATGTTTCTGCATCTTTGTCTATCTCTGTTCTCTCTCTCTAGTCTCAGATAATTTCTTAGGGACTCTACCTTGGGGCATCTCCTCTCCAGTGTGTAGGAAACCTGACCTTCATCATCTGTTTTTTATATTTTGGAAATGTCAGCTTCACTTCCTACCTGGGGGAGGTGGGGGTGTTGGAGCAGGCTGCCTGGCTCCACCTCTTCTCCCCTTCCTTCCAGAATCAGTCCCCTCCTCACCCAGTGCCTGGCCCCAGGGAGGACAAAGCTGAAGCCAGGGCCCTGCTCTTGGTCCTTGTGGCATCAAGAGGCTGGAGCCCAGGCTCTGATCCATAGTCTTCCCTCTATAGTTCACTGTTGTCTGGACAGGAGGACCAGAGAGGCCCTTTTCATCTATTGCTGGTTTGCTGATTTGGGAAAAAAGTAAAACTTCCAGGTCCACAGGGAGCCCAGGAGGCTGAGAAATTTCACCAATAGGAACCAGGATAAAAAGTCATTAAAGTCAGTCATGCTTCTAAGCAGAAATATAGCCAACCAAGTTGCTTAACATGTCAAAGACATGTTATTTGTTCAATATTATTAATCCTAGTAGTAGGTTACGTACCTTAAGGGCTTCTCCTCTGCCAGGCACCTTATTTTTACATTTCATCTACTCAACAGCTGGATCCCCCATTTTCCCAATGACACTCCCCCTAATACTCAGGAAGGAGTTAAATTTGCCCACAGAGACATGACTGTGGCCAAATCTTGAAGCCCCAAGCTCTTTATACAAGTTTCCCAATACTTGAATATATATATATATGTGTATATATATATATATATACACACATACATATATATTCTATACATTTCCTTTGAAAGGAAATACAACCATGGAATTCTAAGATTATACCCTCCAAATCCCAGGCACCCATGTACTACAGATACAGAAACATTGTCTCTAGTTTACTACTTCCAGAAGATCTTGAAGAGGCTATTGGTGAAACAAAAGAGCAGAAAGGCTGGAAGCAGGCACTTCAGACTCAAGAAGAAAGATGATAGTGGATGGGGAGGCAGCAGAGAAATCAAGTGTGGCTTTCTTCGGGGGAACAGGAAGGAGAGTACAAGGCTGGAGGCAGTTCATGGAGGCCTGTGGCCCAGTTCCATGTAGCCTCCAGGTTTCTAAGGAGAGTAACACTCCAAAATAGGACTTGGATTGGAAGGGAAGTATGTTGACAATAAAGAAGGTTGCTGGGGGCTGGAAATGTGGCTTAGTGGTAGAGTGCTTGTCTAGCATGCATGAAGCCCTGGGTTCAATTCCTCAGTACCACATACACAGAAAAAGCCCAAAGTGGTGCTGTGGTTTAAGTGGTAGAGTGCTAGCCTTAAGCATAAGATACTCAGGGACAGTGCCCAGACCCTAAGTTCAAGCCCCAGGACTGACAAAAATAAATAAATGTTTAAAAAAGAAGATTGTTGGGAAAAGTTGGCGCAATGATATAGACTGCCTGTGAGGACCTAACAACATGAGATAAGAAGGTATCTGTCACACTTCCAAATAAATAAGCCACGTCAAAGTCTGGGCCAGCTGCCTCCTTCCCAAGCATGGATACACGAGTTTGTGTTTTGGATGGGAGGAGTACAGATGGGGAGAGGAAAGCAAGAAAACACAATGAGTCTGAAGCCTTAATCTTCTTGTGCTAACACAGGTCTGAGGGCTGCTGGCAGCTCCAGGATCAGTGGAGGAGCCTCCAGTCCCAAAGCTCTAGTGGGAAGACAGGGCAGGGGACTTTGAGGAGAACACTGGCCTAAGGATTGGCCGGTGAGACCCAGGCTCTGGGCCTTGTCTTTGGATGGGTGAGCAAACGTGGGGCCTGCAGTAGCACAGCACATTATTTCATGCCTTCCAGTTCTTTAAAATGATTCCTCTCCCTGGGTGGCATACATGGGTGCACACACGCAAGCAAACAAGTAAAATTTGGTTAAGAACTGCTAATTCAAAACCTCTTTAACTATACAAAAAGTTCAATCCTTTGTTGCTCAGAAACTAAAAACCTACTTCAATTGTGGATCATAGACATGGGTTGGGGAGGTCCAGTAAGGGGGGAGGCAGGCTAAGTGTGAGACCACTGAAATGTCTGTATTCCTGGATATGAATCCCCTGCTTGGTGGGCTTCTGTGTGAGCACTGTGTGTACATTTGTGCCTCTTTCTCAGGCCCTTGTGTGCATTGAACTTTCAAACCATAACAGAAACACTGAAGCTTGGCAGGGATATCACAGGAATAATTATCTAATTTCAGAACATGTTATTATAATACCTACACGATGTGTAACGAAGTTAACAATGTTCACGTTATATTCACCAGCTCTGAGCTGCAGTCCCACAATGCCAAGCCCTCCCCACAGAGGCTTCTCAAAGACATGAAAGCAGAGCAGGCCCCAAAGAAAAGCTCTCCGAGGACTATCCCACACACATACCCCCATGGCTTCCTCATGGATTGAGATGCTTGGCTGAGCTATCTAGCTCTGGGGAAATTGCCAAAAAGAAGGACAGAGCCTATTTTAGGATGGCAACTACTCCCCCTCCCTCCCCAGTAAACTGTGATATTAACAGGGAAATGGCAACCATATTGGATCATATAGACAAGAGTTTCAGCTGTGGACCAAGGGGCTTCTGATCCACCCAGCTTTTCCTTTGGGATGGGAAGGGACCCTGAATTGGACTGAGGCTGAGTGTGAAGGGAATGTTTGCTGTTTGCTGCTGTTCCCTGTTGACTTTAGCCAGTAGCTCTGTTTACAAACCCAGGTTGGTTTTCCCAGCACAGTTAATTAGACCAAAGACATCTGGTGTGAGGGCTGGGGAGGGCATCTGCTCAGAGCTTCCCCCTGCACAGCCAGCAGCCAGGGACTAGCTCAGGACAGAGCAGCTAAACAGGAACAAGGCGAACAACAAACCCAACTCCATCACAACAAAGCGTTCAGGGGCCATGGCTTCTTTCACCTTGCCTCTTCCACGCCTGCTAACTTAGCCTGCACCTCCACTTTCTGAGTCTTAGGGACCAAAAAGGCAGAGCCTCAAAGCCTACTTCAGTGGGATTGGGATCCCACTGACCATAAAAGACTTGGCCTTTATCTCCCCATTCCCATATCCAAAAGAACTGGGAGAAATCTGACCCCTTTCTAAACACAGAAGACCCTGAATTTCGTAGGTGGGGAACTCCGGGTCTCTTCCAAGGATATCTCCCCTCCCTGGACACCTTTTCAGAAAAGGAGGTTCTGGACCCTTCTTCCGTCCCCAGTCACCCCACCTCCAAGCGAATCCCTGACACTACAGGGAGGAGAGATCAATCCACCCTGGGGGAGCCCCCACCCGGGAGATTGAAGGGATCTTGACAAGGGCAGTTTCAGGGCCGTGGGGAAGAAGGGGAGGAAAGAAAAAAAAAAAGACCCCGCGAGGGGGAGGGGCAGCGGCTTATCTCTCCCAGGAGCAGGGCGCTCACTCCAAACAGCTAATGCACTGGCGTGTGAAAGCCCCTCAATTAGCACTAATGATGCAATCAGGGAGGGAGAAGGAGGGACCAGAAGTTCTGGTGGAGTCAGCACCAGCTTAGACGCCCGACACACACTCCCTTCCCGGGACCCAGTAGCCCCTTCCCACCACCCCACCAGAGCACAGAAGTGCGGGGGCACTAATGCATTCGCTACATATGGTTAGTAATCTGCCACAGACCTCGGGGATTCCGGGGTGGGGGTGGGGGGCACACCTCCGGCTAGATCTGAGGCCTCAGACACAAGGAAAATCAGAGTCTTGGTAGAAGGGAGTTGAACAGAGCACTTTACACCCGGCGATGACCTCCTCCGAGCCCGGGGTTCCCGTCCCACGCGCGCTCGCAGGTGCCGCCTTCCTAGAAGCCCTCTTCTTCACCCCAGCCCCGCGTCCCGGGCTGACCGACCCCCCCCCGCGCCCCAGTCCCCCCGCCAGGGCAGGGCGAACCCCAAGCCTTCCCAGAGAGTCCAGCCCGCCTCGAGGCCCCACCGGGGTCCCCAGGAGGAGGAAGCTGTGGGATCGCTCCGATCCCCGCACCTGGGCCTCAGCGGCGCGTCCCCTCCCCGAGCCCGTTACGCGCGGGCCTCGCCCCTTTATCTGGCCAGCCCGCTCCGCTAATGGGGCCTGGCGGTCCCGTTATCCGCCCTCGCCTGGGGCCGGGAGACCCCCGACCTTGACGTCCTCGTCCTCGTCCTCGCCTTCCCAGCGGTCCCCGCCGGCCGGGCCGCCGCTGCCGCCGCCCCCCACCTTCCGCACCGCGTCTTCCACCGAGAACGTGTCCGCGTCTACGGGAGAGAGCCAGCCGCGTTAGTGCCTGTTTGCCGGTCCCGCCCGAGGGTGTGTGTGTGGGGGGGGGGAAGGGAACCTGTCTCCGTCCCCGGAACTTTCTGCTCACCCCAAGAGTCCGAGTCCCCCGCCGCTGCCGCCGCCATCTCGAGCCGGGTGGCGAGCGTGTGTATGAGGGAGCGCGAGCGCCGCGAAGAGTTGGCGCGGCGGAGGTGAGTCACCCGGCTGGCTCTCGTTGGCCCGCGCGGGGCACGCTGGGACCGTGGCTGACTTAGCGCCCAAGCCCGGACCACACCCCCTCCCCTCGGGGCGGCGCCGGCGTTGCACGCGGCGGGGAAGGGGCGGGGACTGAGGCCGGCGG